ATCCGTCCATTTAAAGAAGCTTTTAGGAAACGCAAACTGACTCACAGTCACTTAGTGGACCAGTGGTTGCCTGGGTGGAGGGGGTGGACGGCAAGGAGAGGTAGGAGGAATAGGATTTCAGAGAGCAATGAGGTAGAAATGTTTGCTGTATTGATTGTGGCCATAGTTTCATGGAGATGCAAATATGTCAAATCTTATCAAATAGTATTCTTTAAATATGTGCAGTTACTGGTAAGTCAATTATACCACAATAAGCCTGTTTTTAAAAAGTACAAAGAACAGTCTGTAGTATAGTGCAGTTTAAATCCATGGAGAAGTGTACCAGTCAGGGCCATTAACACTAGATGTTGTAACAAGAAACCTGGTATCTCAGCAGCTTACCACAAAAGTTTCTGTTTTGCTTATGTTACAATGTCACTTGGGTCATACAGCTCCTGGCAGCTCACAGCCAGCCAGTGACTCCAGGACCTTGGCTCCTTCTGTCTTACAGCCTTGCTGACTTCAAGATGCTGTCTCTCTTCTTACCAAGGATAGGAAGAAAGAGCCGAGATGAGCATGACCACACCTACAAGGAGGTGCCCATCACACGTGCCCACATCCTGAGGCCAAAACTGAGTTACACAGCAGGCAAATAGAGTTTTCTCCCTGCTAGGAAGAAGGAGCAGTGCTTTCATCGACCCAGCGTGCCAGCTTCTGCCAGAAGAAAAAGAAATATCAGAGTAGTTGTGCACACAATAATGGGTATTACAAAAGCATATTGAGTTTCTGAGCCAAAATACTTGCATTCAGATCCCTTCAGTTTTCTCCCAGAATGAAAGGGTATCTATTTGCTTTATATTTCTGAACTGCTTTAAAGCACCTATTTCAGGAGTTCTCATAAAGGCACAGTTTCTGCACCTAGAGAGAACCCAAGGCTCCCAGCTCCTAGGAGACAGAAAATTGGTATAGTTTTCCAATCGCTCCCACAGCCTCCCCCACTCCTTTTCTACTTCTGCCCGCAAAGTATGCAGCTTGTGCCCTCCGCCATCTGTGACAGCAATGACAGCGCAGCTAGCCGGATGTTAGAGCCACCAAGAAATGTGCTCAGGGTCTTTTGTGCAATGTAGCCAGATAAAGGGATTCCTTGCCTAAGCAGCCAGTTAGCCTCACTGTATGACCATTTGGACAGGCAGTGGCAGTGACAAGATGTGGATTCAAGGGCGTATACCACCAGTCAGGTGACCCTGACACGGTCACTCCCTCTTTCCTCAAATACTGTCTTCACTGAGCTTCTGGGATGGCCCACTCTCCGGGTCCTCCCTCCCTCTCTGCTGTCCCCCCCCCCCCCCACGTCTGAATGGTAGTTTGCTCCCAGGGCCCTCTCCTGGAGTGCCATCTCAGGTATGATCCCAGGGACTTTGAAAAGCTATAGAATATGCTCTACTTTTGTAGAGTCAGCTCCCCAGCCACCCCCCCACCTTAACAGTTTTGGACACTCAGATAAATTTTTCCTCCCTCCCTCCCTTCCTTTTTTGTCAAATTATGTGGATAACTTCTCCCTCTACAAGTTGTCATTAGGTTCCAGAAATGGCAGTTCATTGCTGCTTTTTTTTTCTTAACTTGCTTAGGAAAAGGCAAAAAAGACCCTTTCACTGTTATCAGTCAGAAATGCTTTGTTGCCCTTGACAATCGATTGAAACTGACCCTTTCAGGAAAGAGTCCATGAAATACAAGGGGGAAAAACAATGATTTCACAGAAGAGCTTGCTCCCACCCACTTGGAACATAGTCCCTTTAGCCAACCTGTTTGATCAGCTGGGGAAAAAGCACCCTCATTTACGTAACCTCCTGGCCCTTTGTGTTTCAAGATGGCACCAGTCCAGAGAAGCAGTTTCCATATGAATGAAGGAGGATAAAGGCCCACCAGTGCCCATCACACCCCCACAGGGTATGGCTTCTCTAGATTGTCCAGGAATTTCTGGTTTTTCCATACAGCTTTGCAAAATGATCTAATATTTGCAAATGTGTGCGCCCTTTCACAATTCAGTGAGCAAATACTACATTAATTTAGGAAATAGTTATGAATCACTTGTGTGCCAACTGCATATAAGCTTTCTTACTGGGTGCTTCAGGGATTAGCAATACAGCCCTGTCTTGGAGAAGCAGACTGTCAAGTGAGAAACACCTAAACATTAAACCATGTTCTTAATAGATGAGCACACCAGGAACAGAGGTCCTGTCTTTTGTCTGTGTCTTCTGCATCACCTAAGTATCATGTTGAGGACACGAACAGGGGATCAAATCCATAGTTCTCCCAGTGAATTTCCGTAATTAAAACCAACAATGATTACCAGCCAAACTTCAGAGGAAGCCAGAGCTCCCTTCTGTCACTGTCAGGGGCCATATGACAGCCACAACATCTTACATGGTAGGAAGTGATGACAGACAAGAGGCTGAGAAGAATACTTCGTGTGGTTCAAATCAAAAGGACATTTGAGTAGAGAGAAAGGATAAATCAGCACTGAAATTAGCCTCCACACCAGAGACATTGCTTATTAGGGAAAGAATGTTTCACATCTGAAAGAAAAACACACACACACACACACACACACACACACACACACAAGTGGCTAGAAGGTTTGAATACTCATCGCAAAATTGTTTTTGTACTGAATTCACACCCTTAATGGTTTCCACTCAAAACTGGAGCGCATCAAATACACAGGTGTCAACTCACTATGGTTCTCAGAGCTGGGACTGGACCACAGAGAAGGAAATAAAAGGCCTCCTGAGGCAATTGCCATCTCCTCTGCATTTAGAATCTGGCTTCAAACCTTGTCCACATTTACTTATGGTCTCTGTACTTGTATCTGCTCTAAGTAAGAATGCAAGCTCCCAGCTGGGTTAAACCCAAATTAGCACAGCACTGTCCCTAAGACTACCAATGTGTAAAGAGGAATGACCACTGTTCTCACACTATAATTTCAAATGGCAATTCCTCTATTATATAGTTTTTAATAGTGAAAGTGTTTTGTTTTTGTTTTTAGGTAAGATGGAAAAAACACTCAGCTGCTCAGTGAGGCAGAGATAAAATATTCTGCAAAAACAGCACTGATGGAATAGGCAGAACCCCTGGGCCATCAATTTATGAACACACAACTTGTGGTACAAGACAGGTGTATTGTTGCAGATTGGTGGTCCAGAAAAGGATTTTATTTTATTAAAAAAAAAAACTAACAATAAACACTTCATGGCAAACCATTTTTATGATAAGTGACTAAAGGGAATGAAAAGCCTATAGAGTAGAGTCAAATCCTGGCGCTCGCTGGGGCTTTCACTAGCTTTCTCCTGCAGCTCCTGGGCACGTTTTTTTCTTTTCCACTTATATTTTATAACAGGGGTCTCGGTTTTCTGGTCGTACTCCTGAGAGTGCTACCTGGGGTATCTAGTGCATCTACGACAGTGTGGCCTCTGGAGACGTTCTGTCAGGGGCAGCAAGTCTCCCTAGTTTGGGTATTTTTTTCTGGTTGAAAACTCTGTGCTTAACATTCCGTTTCGTTCATCTCAGTCCTGAGAAATCACAGTCGTTGAGAGGGAACCAACAGCATCTGGGGACAGGGGGTTGCACTCATTAACCTTCTCCCCCCGTTTAAGTACAACAGTGCAAGTACAAGTGGAAAAGTCAAGGTTGTCCGGTATGCAAAGCCACCCTGTGACCCCACCTACTGCCATGGAAATGCACCGATGGATGAGTGTGAGTGTGTGGATGTGGCAGGTGAGATTTGAGTTTGTGTGAATGGGTTTGTGAAGGTGGATGAATTTGCATGAATGTGTATTTGTATGTAAGTGCTTGTGTACAAGTATGTGAATGTTTGTGTAAATTTTTTGAGTGAATGTGTTTGCTTCTGTATGTTCATTGTGTGTTTGGGTATGATTTTTTTATGTGTCGGTGTGTGTATTACTGTGAATGTACGAGTATAAATGTGTATGTGCGTGTATTTATGTGTACTGGCATGAGTATGCATGTTGAGTGTATGTGTCTAGTGTGTGTGAGTTTGGGTGACTGTGTGTATGAGTGTATCGTTTGTGTCTGTTAATGTGTGTGGGTGAGCGTATAAGTGTGCACGTGTGTAGTTGCCTAAGTGTGTAATTGTATATGACTTTGTATTTTTGTGTGAAGTACTCGTTGTGGTTGTATTTGTACATGAGTGCAAATTTTGTGTGTATAAGTATTGTGTGTGCGTATTTGTGTGTATGTGTATTCTTGTGTGTATGCGTGTGAACGTCGTGGGAGTGTGTAATTGTGAAAATGCGAGCACTGTGTGGCGACTGTGAGCGCTGGGTCAGCGTGCATTTGTGTGCATGTGAGTATATATATTGGTCTGTGCGTGCGGGCGCGCGTGTGAGTCGGTGAGCGCTGCCGCCGCGCGCCTGCACCTCCCGGCTTTCCGCCCCATCGCCGCGCGGGAGCTGGGGCGGCAGCCGGCCGGCCTGGCGGGCGAGGGTGGGACGCGCGCGCCGGGGTGAGCCGACTGCGCCGCCGTCACCGCCGCCGCGCCGACTTTGCCCTTTAAATCGGTCTCCAAGCCGATTACAGCTGATCTCCCACGTGACGTTTTACCTTCTGTCTCCTGGAGCGAGTTGCCCGAGGGCAGTCCTCCTCGGGCTGCCGCGCGTCGCGCCGCCCCAGCCCGCCGCGGGGCTCCGGCTCCGGCAACTTTGGGCGAAGCAGCGGCGGGCCGGGGCGCCCTCTCGGGGCCACTTTTCCACGCGGGCGTCGGGGGCTCCCCGGGCTTCGCTCGGCCGGGAGGGCGGCGGTCGCGGCCGAGAACTTGCCCTGGCCGCAGCCAAGCGCCCTTTCGGACCCGCGCGGCGCCGCGCCCCGAAGGCCGGCCGGGTGCCCTGCGCGCTGCGTCAGACAAGGGGGCGCCCTTCGCCAGCCGGGACCCGAGCGGGCGCGCCCTGGGGCGAGCCGGCCTGGAGATGGCTGCGAGGCACGGGTGAGCCCCCTGCGCCCTCACCATGCAGAAGAGCGTGCGCTACAACGAGGGGCACGCCCTGTACCTCGCCTTCCTGGCCCGCAAGGAGGGCACCAAACGCGGCTTCCTGAGCAAGAAAGCAGCCGAGGCGAGTCGCTGGCACGAGAAGTGGTTCGCTCTCTACCAGAATGTGCTCTTCTACTTCGAGGGCGAACAGAGCGGCCGCCCGGCGGGCATGTACCTCCTGGAGGGCTGCAGCTGCGAGCGGGCGCCCGCGCCGCCCAGGGCCGGGGTCGGGCCAGGCGGCGCCCGGGACGCGCTGGACAAGCAGGTACCACGCGCCCTCCTTCCTAGGTCTCCCTCCCTGCGGCCGCGGCACACTCCCTCTTCTCACCCTCGAGGTCTAAGGCTCGACCGAACGCGGGAACCGTACTCCGAGATCCAAGGTTCCCCCGCGGTGTCAGGGGCAGGACATCTCCACGCGCCTCCCGTCTCCATCCCCCCCTCTTCCCCACCTCCATGTAATCACTTGGGAACCGAGGCTCCGCTTTCTTTCTTTCGCGACCCTGAAAGCGGTCGGGTCTTTTCAGTTTCATTGCTAACCATCCAGTTCTTCTCTAGACCTAGTTCGGAGGGATTTAGTGGGGTGACGTGTGTTGACACCTGTTGGGTTTAGATTGGCACGACAGAACTAACTTATTTGGAAAAGTTTGGTTTCTCCCTTACCCGGCTGGTGCGTGTGGGGTTTTTTATTCTGCGTGCACATGTTTGATCGCTGGCTGTGCAAGGAACAAGCGGGGGCTCCCAGGAAGGACAGGCACTTTCTGTTGGCGATTTTCAATGTTTTGTGGTTTATGTCGGTTTACCTCGCTCACATTTGACCTGCTGGGTCTAATTATGGAGGTAAATGTGTATGCATTTCCCTCAGGATTAGTCTTTGGTAGCCGCATTCCTGCTATGTTTAAACCTGTGGGCATTTTTAAAGAACGCTTCTCTGTACTTTTAAATGAATGCTTTGAAAACAAATGTGACCTTTTTATCCCGGGTCATAATTTTATTAGTTTTGCTGTGTATGCATTCGGGGAGGAAAAAACAAACCCTCTAGATTTAGTAACTCCTGCCCCCCCATTCCTGCAAATGCGAAATTTATATTTTTTTCCAGTCACCGTTGGGTTATTAAAGTTAGAGCAGACTAATTTTATGCTCCCAAATGTTCTCACTTCGCTTCTAGATCTCCACCTTGAAGAAAAGAGGCTGATTGTCTTTGCTGTAGCATAAAATGTTTCGCAGATGAATTTCCCCTGCAAGTCAGACCAAACAGCTTCTCTTGCAAGAGCGTGGCTGAGGGAGGCGCTAGCGATGGGATGATGAATAAGATGCCTACATAACCCCTGGGGCTCATAAAACAATGTGTAAAATTAAGAGGAGTTCAAACTAGATCAACCAGAAGTTTTGTTTTGTTTTGTTTTTTTCCACTTTGGTTTCACTATAAATCATTAACAGACTTAATTGATTAAACTTGTTATATTGCATATAAATCTGGTATTTAAAAAATACACCCTTTGGTGTTTGAGGGCATGTTGAGGGTTATTTGAAAAACTGATTTTCAATTTTGTAGATACAAATACTGAAAATATAAGTTTAAATTTCAAGTCATGCATTTTAAAATTTAAGAGCACGAAAAGGGTATTGAGGAAGCAGATTTTTTTCAGTTATTGTTTTTTTCTATTGGTGAGGTTGTTTTTTTTAAAGGTACGTGTTCCAAGGCCCCCCAGGAGCCAAAACTAGTAAGTTCTTAAGTGTTACTATGTGTAAAAGCAAATAGGTACTTTAAATTACCCTCGATATATATCATTGACTTAATCCCAAATTATTTTTTCTCCTATTTATACTAATATCAGGAGATAACCTTTTCTTTCTTTCTTTCTTTCTTTCTTTCTTTCTTTCTTTCTTTTTCTTTCTTTCTTTCTTTCTTTCTTTCTTTCTTTCTTTCTTTCTTTCTTTCTTTCCTTCCTTCCTTCCTTCCTTTCCTCCCTCCTTCCCTCCCTCCCTCCCTCCCTCCCTCCCTCCCTCCCTCTTCCTTCCTTCCTTCCTTCCTTTCTGAGTTGGGGGTGTGAAGATGTTACTTGCTGCAACTTACCTAGCTGACCAGTTAACATGAAAACCTACATTTTTCTAATTGGAAATTATCGGGGCTCTCCTCTTCAGGACAGTTTTCTTTACATCACACTTTAAGACATAAATGTAACCCTCCAATAGTATGACTTTTATGCCACTTTCTAACGGAAGTCCTAAACAGGTCATCCTAGGGAAAAAAATTTTTTGTTTGCCATACAAGTTATGAGTATTTCTCACTCATTTGGTACATAGAAGTTGGAACCTTTGGTGTATGTAGAAAAACTGAGATATAAAGAACAAGCATTTCAAAATGGAATCGAATTGGGAAATCTGTCAAATTTTGTTTTCTGCTAGGCATGCTTCTGTGACTCAGGTTAGTTTAGCAGATTGATGCTTTTCTCTAGCCTGCCTGTCTGGATGTGTCTGAAGAATTAAGAAAAAACTACAAAGATAAGAAACAAGAAGCAACTTCTACCTTAAACCTATAGTTTATGCAGTTGGTTCCCTTTCAGTTCATTTGTGTTCCTACGTGCTCACATTTTCTGAAGCACCTAGACTTGAAACTGGCAAAGTTGAGGCACTGAGCAGGGACCATCTTAAGGTCTGTTTCTCCAAATGTGCTCCTGGAGCTTTCTGAGTAAATCTCTCTCTCAACCCCATAAACGCAGTTGAAGGTTAGGGCTTGAAACAGGATTTAGGGAGGCAGAGTGCGTTTCCTCCACCATGTTGCTGTGACTTAATGTACACAAATCTCTTAACAGTCTCTATTTTTTTCTGTGAATGAAATCCGTTTCTTAATATTTAAACAATAAGAGTTTGGCTGAGAAGATTTCAAGTTGCCTTCCAATAATGACATCTCCTGTTTCTAATGTTGTAACAGCAGTGTGAGCTTTTGCTGTGTAGAGAATGTGACAGACTGTTTCACAAGATTTAAAGTGTACCAGTCCCTGTAATAACTATTGAATCTGAGAAGCTAAACACAAGCAGGTGGTCAAAGTGAACGTTCTAATAAATCAGTTAGGTTAGCAGATGTGCAAACCAATAGGAACATCATTGCTAGAGGAGGGGACATTTTTATTTACACTGGAGTGTGATGTAATGTTGTTGACAGTTATAGTTAATGTAATTTTTGCTCTAAAATGCCTCCAATCATTCTTGTCAGTTTAAATGCTACTTATCCTTCAAATAATTCTTAAATTCTGATTAATTGTGTTTTTCGGTAAGTTATATAATAGGAGGAGAACACTCATTGGTTTGTTTCTTCTAAATCGAAGTTGGTTGACAAAAGAAAAATTAGGTTTTTTTTTTTTTAAACCACTGTTAAAGTGGTTTTTAAAAAACTGTTTCCAGTTAAGAAAAAAGAAAGGTGTTTTTCACTTTCCAAGTGTGCCTGGGTTAAAGGAATATTTGCATTGCTCCATTTTTTCAAGAATGTCCCAAGGATTTCACTTTGGTAGGTCCTCGGTTGATGGCAAGGCTCTCAGATCAAGTTTCCATAGTGGCTACCTTTTGGGTACTTTTAGTTATGGTGATAGAATCAAAATGAATTCAGCTAAAAAATTTTCAAGTAGTGTTCCTTTTCTTGAACCTGTATGTTGGTGGTACTTTCTAAAGAAATCTCCATTTATGTGAAATGAAAAACTTACTTTTCATTCTAGGTAAAAGTGTTCAAGGGGAATGGGAATTTGGGTTTAATAAGTACCTTCTGTGTGCCATGCTCTGTGTAGTCCTCCATTATCACATCTAATTTGAACTTCCCTTCAGCTCTTAGAAATTTCGAGTACTTTTTTCATTTATACCTATGCTAACACTGAGACTGAAAGCGTTCTAGGGAGATGGAGACGATCAAAGTCCAACTCCAGGTATGAAGATTGAATAACGTTGAAGAGTGCCTTGGGAAGGATCTACTTAAGTTGATTGAGCTTCAAGAAATTTAAAATTTGAGGGGCACCTGGGTGGCTCAGTCAGTTAAGCGTCCTGGGACTGAGCCCCGCATCGGGCTCCTGGCTCAGCAGAGTCTGCTTCTCCCTCTCCTTTTGCTTCTCCCCCCACTAGTGTGCGTGCGCGCTCTCTCTGTCGAATACATAACTAAAATCTTAAAAAAAAAAAAAATTTAAAAATCTGAGTGGGATGGGGGTTGGGATTGTATGTGAATCACTATTTTGTTTATTCTTATTTCCCTTTAAAAACTATTTACAGGGCAGTTGTAATTCTTGAGAAACGTAATTGCAGACCATTGCATTTTGAAAGAAAAATGAGACTTATGTTTAAACAAACAATTTTACATAACATTCATCTCCTTCAGTAGGGGATCTTTAAAAACATTTGTACTTAGGTGGAAGTACCCATTGGTTAGTCTAGTCCATTTAAGTGACTGAATGTGTCTTCCCTGCTAGCAGGAGAGACATATAGGAACAAGCCGTATTTATTCTTATTTTCCTGCTAATGGTAAATGTTCTGTTCACCCTGATTTCAGTCATTTTTGGGGTCAGACATCTTAGTTCTGGAGGCTTAAAGTAGTAGATACGTGTCATATTTGTGCTGAATTAAACATGTTGATTTAATTTTAAAGGGATTAAAGGTTATGTGATTTCCCCTGTCACCTCGTTATTAGCCAGTCATTTTAGCCTTCCTAATGACCACAAGTGGAGGATTTTAATAGTTTGATGGAATTAGGCAGAGCTGTATGCAAGCCCTGGAATACTTGTGGAGGGTGGAGAGTGTGGATGGTGGATGTTCAGTCTCATTTATGTTGTTTAATTGATATATAATAACCAGCTCAATATTTTCTCTTCAACTTTTGCTTATTGAACATAAGTGAAGGGAAAATGGCATAAAAATATTTACTAAATCTTTTAAAAAGTTTTAAAATATAATTTAAGGAAGAGACATGATTTATTATTGGAACTTTGTAATCATTCTTTCAAACTTAAATGAAAAATAACCTATGGGTTAGCAAAGTGTAGTTATTTTAATTTTGGCTACACTAAACCTTACTATATATATTATTGTAACAATTTTTTTTCTTTGGGAATTAAACATACTTTAATGTTTTCTTCTCACTGGGTGATGATAAGTTGTAAAGCGTGTGTGATGACCACAGGTTTCTGGTTTTAGCAGGCAAATGTTAATAGTTGGTTCAAACAATTGATACTGCTGTGTGTTTAATGCAGATTATATTTTTAAGTTGATTTTGTCCATGTTTTTCAATAA